GCAAGGCATGATGCTCCCACTCCTCACTGTATTCCTCTGCTATAGTGACATCAAAGATGTCCCTTCTTCCGAGGCACGGCGCCGCCCCCCTATAAAGTGCCGCCCTAGGCAAGTGCCTCGCAACAAATACGCCCATGTGTGACAGGTTGCCACACTGTCACTATATATTTTTTATTTAATATCATGCATTTAAATTAATTTTCGGCCAATAGGCTACTTTCACACTGAGAAGTTTTTGAAGCGCTTTTACGTTTTAAAAAAAAGGTGGAAGAAAAGCCCAAGACAAATGTATCCCTTTAAATTCAATGTCTTCATACTGGTTTGTTGCGCTTCCCTTGCGGTGTTGAAAATCCTGCCTGCCACATTTTCGGTGCATATTTGACAAGTTAAAAAAAAGAAACCGTACCTCCTCATTAAGGCCTGGTTCACACCAATGCGTTTTTTGTGCTTTTTGCAGAAAAGCACTACAGTCTGTTTTAACATGGTTTCCTATGGGACACATTCACGTCTATGCTTTTTTGAGCTGCTTCGATTTTGGAAAGGGTCATGGACTATTTTTAAACTGAAAACAGTGTGTTTTTTTGGTTTAATGGACGTCAGTAAAAAAAAAAATTAAAAAGTACTAACACGCATGTGCAAAACGCAAAATGCACTACAAAACGGACAAAACACAAACTGCATTGGTGTGAACCTGGTGTGAAATGCATTGAAAATGCATAAAAAACATACACGTGTTTTTGATGCGATTTGCATTTTTAACCTGCCCAGCAACAAGTTGGACAAACAAAACTTCAAAAACACAAGTAGTATTGCAAAACACAAACTGCATCGATGTGAACTAGACCTGAAATGTATTGAAAACGCATTAAAAAACGCACACATGTTGCGTTTTTGATGCGTTTTGGGTTTTTAATCTGCCCAGCAACAAGTTGGCATTTGCAAAATGTCGATAACAATATTCCATCCTGGAGTTAAAAGCAGATAGTCTGCTGGACCCATCTTCTTAGATATTGGGTTCAATTGGACTTGCCACAACTGTGGCCTACATCAGTAATCACGGGGACACCAGGAGTTTTGCAGCAGAAATGGGAGGTTGTTCCAGCAATGGTGCACATTCCCAGGGTGCAGAAATGGCAGACAGATTTTTTCAGCAGACATCTGGACCCAGGTAAATGTTCTCTTTGTCTGGAGGTGTTCCGGATCATATGTCTATATTGTGGAAGAGTGGATGTGGATTTGCTAGCTTCTTGGTTCAGTTAGAGGCCGAACACAGATTTGTCCCCAGGACATGGGACCCCACAGCGAATGCAGGGTATGCCCTGATCCCATGCCATTCCTCTGCTGCAACTTTTATCCTGTCTCCTTTAAAGCATAGAGGCTAAGAGCATTCCAGTCATTCTCATAATCCTCAACTGTCCTTGGAGAGTAGGGTATGTGACCACGTTCTTCTGTTGACCCTCTGTGGCCTCTTCCACATTGGCCGAATGTGTTCTCTTAGGAATTGATCTTCAACCCTGCTTCTTGGTTGCTGGCTTTGACAGGTGGCCTGGCTGTTGGAACCCAAGTTCTGAAAGATAGGAGAATTTTGGATTCTGTAAGCCTGATCGTGTTGAAACTTGTGAATCTTATTACTGCTAAATCCTCATCAAAAGTGGAGACTTACTTTCACTGGTGTGAGTGTCTGGGAGTTTTCATTAGTAAGACCTCATCTGGAATATGCAGTTCAGTTTTGGGCACCTATTCACAAAAAGAACATTGGGGAACTTGAGAAAGTACAGAGAAGGGCAACCAAACTGATTAGAGGCATGGAGGAGCTCTGCTATGAGGAAAGATTAGAGGAACTGAATTTATTCTCTCTTGAGAAGAGGAGATAAGGGGGGGAGATATGATCTCCATGTATAAATACATCAGTGGTTCATATAGTGAACTCGGTGTAGAGTTATTCACCCTGAGGTCATCACAGAGGACAAGGGGGCACACTTTACGTCTGGAGGTAAAGAAATTTAATCTCCAAACACGGAAAGGTTTCTTCACAGTAAGAGCTGTGCAAATGTGGAATAGACTCCCTCAAGAGTTGCTTCTTTCCAGCTCTCAGTGGATTGCTTTAAAAAAGTCCTGGATTGTTTCTTAGATACACAGAATATAACTGGATACTAACATTTATAGGTAAAGTTGATCCAGGGAATATCCGATTGCCTCTCAGGGGATCAGAAAGGAATATTTTCCCCTGCAGGAGCAAATTTGGATCTTGCTTTGCTGGGTTTTTTGTCTTCCTTTGGATCAATTGTTGGTGTAGGATTATAACTTTTTTTTTTAATGGCTGAACTGGATGGACTTTAGTCTTTTAATACAGTTAGATTAGCTATGTTTTCCCAGGTGCTTTTTCAGTGGGCCTGGTTTGCTCTTTTAGCCGTTAACACAATCAAAGGTCAGGTGTTTACACTGTCTTCTTTTTTTCAGTACTTTTACTATTCGTTCCCTGATTCATAGAAGGGATTTCACATATTACTTCCACTGCTAGGCCCCTGTACATGTCCTTAATTAATAAAATGTGTGTATTTTAGTGAATTAACCCCAGTGTCATGCCTATTTGTAAACCGATATAGAGGCACAGCATATAATTCATCACAGCTGTGGCAAGAAATGTATAAAACTCAAGATCCATGCAATCCATTAAAGCAAAAATATGCAAAACCATGGCAGTCATATAGAACTTTAAAGTGGAACTTCACTCTCGCAATCAACATTGACTATTTTTAGTCCTTATGCTGCTAGCATTAGTAAATAGATGGGAAAGTATATCATATTTACTTTTCAATTTTATTTTTTTTTTACATTTCCTCAGTTACTTTCTGGTTTTCATTCCTAGGCAAATGTTGTCATAAGTCATAATAAGCTGCAGTTAATTACATAAATTGGGAACTTAGCATGCACTTCTGGTACCACTTATAGTGGAGTTCAACCCAAAAGTGGAAGCTCTACTTATCTGCCTCCTTCCCACCCCCCCCCCCCCCCCCCCCCCCCGCTGTCACATTTGGCACCTTTTGGGGGGATGGGAGAGCGGGTACCTTTTTTTGCTAAGTACCCGCTCCCACTTCCGGCTCAGTTCGCCACGGCAAACTGAGCCAAAAGTTCACCCCCTTACCCCTGCAGCCCTCTGGGACACATCACAGGTCTCAGAAGACTGCGGCCCATTGACATGCGCAGTAGGAGACCGGCTTGACTATCCCTTAGTCAAGATGGTGGTGCCAGCACTCAATAGCCAATAGAAGAAATTGCTTGGTGTGAGGACACCGCTGGATCCCTGGACAGGTAAATGCCCTAATATTAAAAGTCAGCAGATACAGTATTTGTAGCTGCTAACTTTTAATTTGTGGGAGGGGTGGGCCAGAACTCCTCTTTAACCACTAGCCTACAGGGCACTTATACCCTCTTCCTGCCCAGGCCAATTTCCAGCTTTCAGCGCTGTCACACTTTGACAATTGCGCAGTCATACAACATTGTACCCATATGAAATTTTTATAATTTTTTTGAGACAGAGCTTTCTTTTGGAGGTATTTAATCACCTCTGGGATTTTTATTTTTTCGTAAACAAACCAAAAACCACTGAAAATTTTGAAAAATAAATTTTTTTTTCTCAGTTTTTGTTATACAATTTTGTAAATAAGTGATTTTTCTCCTTCACTGATGTGCGCTAATGAGGCTGCAATGATGGGCACTGATAGGCTGCACTGATGGACACTGATAGGTGGCACTGATGAGGAGGCACTGGTAGGTTGCACTGATGGGCATTGACAGGCATCACTGATACATGACACTGATAGGCGGCACTGATGGGTGACATTGAAAGGCAGCTCAGATGGGCACTGATATGTGGCATTGATGTGCACTGGTATGCACTACTGATGAGCACTGGCACGTGGCACTGATGAGCACTGACAGGTGGCAATTCTGGGGCCACACTGATCATCAGGGCACACTGATCATCAGTGCCCTGATGATCAGTGTACATGTACCCTCCGCGGAAAGCCGATTACCGGCTCTCCTCTCCTCTCGAGCTGTCAGCGTGACAGCCCGAGAGGAGAGAAATGCCGATAACCGACATTTCCGTGTTTACCCGTGATCAGCTGTGATTGGACACAGCTGATCCCATGACTGAGCCGACATCTTGGGCTCTTTCCGTGATTTGCTGTGTCCGAGGGACACAGCGCAACGGCGATCGCTGCGCGCTCCCTGAGCCGCGCATGCGCGGTGAGAATGGAAGGACATGACGTCCTATCAGAACGAGAGAACCACCTTGCACCCATCATTGTACTATATGGCGGGCGGAAGGTGGTTTAAAGCACAACTAAACCCTCCTTTCCTTCACAGTCAAGAAAGCTACCATCTTAGCCATATATTTGATCCGCAGTCGCCATGGTGTTACACATGTTATCAGTTATGATTGGTTGGTTTAGTTACACTTTAAAGACCTCAGAATACAAGGTGTCGTCTGAGTAGTATGAGTCCTATAAAGTCTGTATATGTAGGCGATGTGTAGAGGCCACAGGCTCCAGAACCTGCCTCATTCTTTCCTTGGTTTAGAGAGCAGGCAGAAGGATGCACTTCAGGGGCCCCAACAACCAAGACTATATTTGGTAATAGTTCTGCGTGAAGACTGTAAGGTTCATCTTCACCTGAACAGAATACTATCTAGGTAAGCCCTAAAGTCTTTCAAAGGGAAATCACTGCAATTCCCCCAGAAGTCCAGATATATAAAAAATATGAGCCAATGATGATAATCCCACCTTCTCTGCTGGCAGAGAAAGGAAAAACACAGAGGTGGTGACTGGGGATTTTCTTTGCATGTTAATAGTCTTGATCAGGCAGAAGAGCAATCTTATAGCTGTCATGGTGGAGGAGGGGGCAAAAAAAGCCTTACGGGTTCTAAACCGTTACCAATCTATCCACCTGTGAAAGAAATATGGGCTTCATCTTAAATGTACTGTTTCTGATTACAGAGCTGGCTGTGAATACAGCTCAGTTTGCCAAGAGCCTGGCCATGCTGGGGAGCTCAGAGGATAACACAGCTCTTTCCAGAGCCCTATCCCAGTTAGCTGAGGTGGAAGAGAAGATCGAACAGCTACATCAGGAACAAGCCAACAGTGACTTTTATCTGCTTGCTGAGCTTCTAGCAGATTACATCCGCTTACTGTCTGCAGTGCGAGTGAGTGGCTTGTCTTTACATATTCATTAAGTGATACATATCTTCATTCCTTTCTTGCCTTCCTGGTTTTCATATACAGTAGAATGTAGTTTAACTTTCTAATGTAGTGATTAATTGCTCTATTTTACCTACTAAAGGGTGCTTTTGACCATCGAATGAAGGCTTGGCAGCGCTGGCAGGATGGCCAGTCAACATTACAGAAAAAAAGGGAGAATGAGGCCAGGCTGTTGTGGGCCAACAAACCAGATAAATTACAGCAAGCCAAGGATGAAATATCTGAGGTAAGAAAAAAAAAACAAAAAACTCTGGGACAAGGAAAGGTGCAAGACTGCTTCACTAAGAGAATGTGAACTTATTAGAAGAGAGAACCCTCTCAAACAGTCTGTCTTACACCACCAAAAGCTAACAAACTGTAATTTGGTGTGTGTGTGTGTGTGTGTGTGTGTGTGTAGACAGTGAGGGAGAGATATATAGATAATGTATATTTTGTGTTTCAATTGTGTCTGGGATCTTATTAACCACTTTACTACTACCGCGCAAGAGATGGCTGAAGTGGTCCTGCACGCGCCCAGCGGCACACACCCGGTGCTACCCTTGATCAATGTATCCTATGGATGATCAGTGCCCAGAAGTGCCGCCTATGAATGCCTATCAGTGCAGCCTCATCATAGCACATCCGTGAAGGAAAAAAATGTTATAATCGAAAAAAAAAAACCTTTTAATTTTTTGCTCTTTATAGTGCAAAAAACAAAACTCCCAGTGGTGATTAAATACCACCCAAAGAAAGCTCTATTTGTATTTGTGTGAAAAAAATGATATAAAATGTCATATGGGTACAGTTTTGCATGACCGCACAATTGTCATTCAAAGTGTGAGAGTGCTGAAAATTGGCCTGGGCACGAAGGGCGTAAAAGTGCCCAATAGGCAAGTAGAGAGAGAGAATAAACTTGCCTGACTGCATTGTGCCAAGTGTAAAGTTTGGGGGAGGGGGGATTATGGTGTGGGGTTGTTTTTCAGGGGTTGGGCTTGGCCCCTTAGTCCCAGTGAAGGGAACTCATCAGGCATCAGCATACCAAGACATTTTGGACAATTTCATGCTCCCAACTTTGTGGGAACAGTTTGGGGATGGTCCCTTCCTTTTCTAACTTGACTACGCACCAGTGAACAAAGCAAGGTCCATAAAGACATGGATGAGCAAGTTTGGGGGGAGAAACTTGACTGGTGTGCACAGAGTTCTGACCTCAGCCCGATAGAACACTTTAGGGATGAATTAGAGCGGAGACTGTGAGCCAGACATCAGTGCCTGACCTCACGCATTCGCTTCTGGAAGAATGGTCAAACATTCCCACAGACAGACTACTCCTCAACCTTGTGGACAACCATCCCAGAAGAGTTGAAGCTGTTATAGCTGTAAAAGGTGGGCCAATTCAATATTAAACGGACTAAGACTGGGATGCCATTAAAGTTCATGTAAAGGCAGGCGTCCAAATACTTTTGGCAATATAGTGTATGTGTGTGTATATACAGTGCTCAGCATTAATGAGTACACCCCAACAGATTTTTCAGAAAACCTTTACTTTCCTTTCAGAATGAACATTTTCTATGGGACACTATACTACAAAATACTCCCACAAATGCAGGCCATTGATTGCAAACAAGATTTGTTAATTTGCATGCACACAAAAGTATTTTTCCTAACAAATTCATTCAAGATCATGTTGCAAAAATGAATACACTCCAATGAAAGTCTTAGGAGCAAAGCTAAATTTTAGACAACAAAATCCTAATTAACAAGAATTCAACTACAGGTGAGTCTAATTATTCATTAAACAGGTGTCCAGCAGACAGTTGATTATAAAAGGGCGTTACTTAACAAAACCCCTTCCCGTATCATGCTGTCAGCAATGGCACCACATGGAAGAGAATTGTCACAAGGCCTGAGGGGGAAAATTAATTTTTTTTTAAACGGGAAAGGTGAAAGCTACAAGAAGATGAGCAAAGCTTTACTTATCAGTCTAAATACTGTGGCAAAAATCTAACAAAGGTGGAACTGAAACCATCTCACAGAGACGTCCAGGCCATCCTGGACAATTCAACAGAAGCGTCTTCTGTTGAGAAGGACTGAAGAAAATTGCCATGCAAGTTCACTGCAGAAAGCCAGACTGGGGTGATTGTTTCCCACGACCCAATATGACGTACACTGCAGAGGAATGGCATGCATGAGTGTCATCCAGGAAGGAAGACTCTCCTAAAGCCCATACACAAAAGAGCCTGCCTAGAATTTTCTAGGGCCCATGCTGAAATTCTGCTACGTTTCTTTGATGAAAATAACCCAAATCACTATTTATTATTTAGTCTGTAGGAATCTAATTTTTTGAGGCCCACAAATGTCAGGGCAGTACAGATATCCCCCAAATGACTCCTTTTTGCAAGGTAGACCGAGGTATTTAGTAAGAGGCATGGCACGTTTTTTTGAAGTTGTATTTTTTGTTATAATTTTTTGGAAAATGAAGAGATTTAAAAAAAAAATGTTTTCACAATTTTTATTTTTTTTTAATTCACATACTGTCACCAGTGCAGTACGCCCTTGTCATATAATTAGTGTGGCAGTGATCAGGGACACTGACTGGTGACAGTACGAAAAGAAAATTAATACTTTCTTTACATTTTTTTTATTTTTTTTCTTAAGATTTTGTTTCATAATACACTGTGACCCAGAGTAGTATAATGTTACCATTATAGTGACATTTGTACTACTTTTGGGGAAGTGATCAGAATTTTTTTTTTTTTTTTACTTTTTACACATTATGATTGCTTATAGCAAAGAATTTGTATGCTATAAGCAAGCATTTAACTGAATGAAATCAATTCATTCAGGATTTTTTTTTTGTGATTCACTGTGATTGGCAGAGAGAGGCTGTGATTGGCCCAGTCTGTACATGTAATCACTGTGACCAATCACAGCTAGTGACACAATTGTATATAATGGATGGTATGAAAGGAAGCCATCCATTGTTTACAATTGTCATGTGACCTGTTGTGATTGGTCACAGCAGATCACATGGTATTGGCAACAGGCTGGTGCACGGATCTGTTATCAGCTGTGTACAAGGTACACAACGGTAACCAATCACACCACAGCGAGGGCACGCGCAAGGTGCTATCCAGGAAGGACATCATATGATGCTCACCCTGATTGACAAGAATCTCGCTCAGCCGTCATTCTGCTATTGGTCAGGCGAAAACAGGTTAGGAATGCTGCAAGTTTAGAAAAATATCAGTTGATCCTGCCAGAAATACACAGATTCTAATTTTCTGTGCTCTCTGCTGCACTGTTATTAGGTCTTTCTAGTTAATTTTCCTGGACTATAGAACACCTTCCTCCAATTTTAGAGATATGGAGGGGAAATATGTTCTGAGAGCCGCGTTGGTGAAAATGCTACTTCTTCATAAACACAGTACATTGCGTAGGAATCATCCCCCTAGGACAGGAAGTATGTTACTGGCAGGATCACCAGTTAAAAATGAGGAAGAGGAAAAGAATGAAAACTAATTGATGCAGCCACCATATATAGAACCTAGTAAGCTGCAAATATTATAGTTTTGTTTTTGGTTAAGCTGACTTTAAAGTAGGATGAAATACCACTGATGTGCATCGAGATAGCAGCCAAGTGTACAATAACTGGTTGCTGTGTGAATGTGCTGCCTGTTCTGAAATTATTCAATTTAGTTAATGTACCCCAGTCGAATGCTGCAGGTTGTGATCAGAATAGAGAGTTTTGAATATGATGACCAACACTTGGCAAGTAGCAGGCACAGCCCCACCAAAAAGAAGGCATTTGCCACCTACAGCAGTACATAGTCCTGCTTACAATGATTTAACTTTCATGCTTATCAGTCTAACATTGCTCAAATAAGCATTTATATAATTCCTCCAGTGTTTGTATCTACAAGCCACTTACTATGTGTTAGTCTACAGTCTGGGCACCAGGAGACATAAATCACTTTAGCTCTTGTTTATAATAAGTTTTCAAACAAAACATTTTTATTGCTCATCTCTACCACTCATCTTCCAACCCTTGTTGGTACAGTGTGCAATTGAAAATAACAAGGATTTGGACTGCTATGGAAAAATACATTGTTTTTGTTATTTATTTTTTTAAATTTTTGTGTTTTTTTTTTTTTTTTTTTTTTTCGTCATGCTTTTCGTACATAAGCTCCTAAACTGTGTAATTTAGCTCTATGTTGCTGCTTACATTAGATTTACATTCTAAACCTTGGTCACCTGTTTTGTTAGTGGGAGTCCAGAGTCACCCAGTATGAGAGAGAGAGATTTTGAAAGAATTTCGATTACTGTTCGGAAAGAGGTCACAAGGTTTGAGGTAAGATGACTTTATAGCTGAACATTTTGATAGATACAGTTTTAGAATAATCATGATTACCTACATTTTACAGCTTGCCATAAGACTACAGCTTAAAGCGGAGTTCTAGCAGTTTGTGTTCGATGTTCTCGCCTGAGCTGTCCGGCATCTCAACTGTGGGCACAAAGCTGTGACAGCTTGCGGCTTCACAGCCTGGTGCCCACTGCGCATGCGTGAGTTGCGCTCTGCCTTCTAATTGGTCCTGCAGGTTTCTGGGACCGTGAAGGTTCTCAGGAGATTGCGGGAGGCCGCCGAACTTCTGGCGCACTCCGCTGCGGCGAACTGAGCCGGAAGTGAGAGCGGGTACCTGTCAAAAACAGCTATCCACTCCCCCCCCCCCCCCCCCCCCCCCCCAAAAGGTGCCAAATATGGCAGTTGAGGGGCAGAGGAGACAAATAAACAGAGCTTCCGCTTTAAATTGAATGACCGATTCTTTTTACTATTTGCATTTTTTGATATATCTAAATATGCTTAACTGTCATTTTGGAGGGTTGGTGCAGCCAAAATGTTTTTTCGCAGTTTTGGATAGCATGAAAAAGGATTAGAATTCTGTTGAGGTTTGTTTTTCTGTTGTGTGGGGCCCCCAGATTTTTATTCTTGTTTCCTCTTCAGCTGACATTTTACCAAAAAGGAACTAAGGGGTACTCCCTAACAGGAGCACAGAAAGCAATGGAGATGCTTTCTTTAGGTTTGGGGAAGGCCAGACACCCTGTGAGATTTTTATTTCTGCCTGTGTCCCAGTTTCAAATGTTCACTTTTGTCTAGTGAGCTCATTGTCCTCTGGACAGTAAGTGAGTGTAAATCTCTCTAACAGTGTCCTGGATAGCAGTAAGAAACCTAATAGATGTTCCAGTCCTTCCCCACACTGCCAAATCGAGAAAAAATGTTTTTGGCTTGACACATACACTTTATGACCTTTTATAAGTTGA